GCACCGCACATCTTCAAAACTCAAATGTCCTCGTTGTGGGACTAATAAAGGATTATCTTATTTCAATCGCTTTATTGTAACTCATACAGAAATGTACTGCACCTAAGAGGTATATTCTGTTATATAGACGTGCATGTGCATGCATGTGTGTGTGGGTGGGTATGAAGGCAAATCACTGTCAAAATCCGAGAGCGCAAATGAGATCCACGCGCCCACGTGTGTAGAGGTCCGCGCGTGCAAAGTAAACAGCCGCACACGTATTTTACTTTGACAAGCGCTTTTACATCACTCCGCGCAGAATATCTCTGCTCGTGCAAGCAGAATTTGCAGCCTGCGAGGAGAAAACCATGCTTTAGGTGCGACTACTATCACTGCTCTTCTGCTCGCGAAACTTTTACTTGATTTTGTTTTTGACAGTAAGTGGGCGGACCCAGTCACCATTGTATAACTACATTGAATTGGTTTCAATCCTCGTCTTTAGATCGTCCGGATATTACTCTGACACAGACGCTAGGTCTGTAATAGAGGAGGTTTTCAATACACTACTAAACACTACTCCACTACATAGGTAAACTGTTCAGACTGTAGAGGCTGATGAAATACAAAGTATGTTGTTAGTGTTTTGAAATACAATAATTAAAAATGAGTTTCTCTAAACTGGAGTCAAATTGCACAGATTGATTTGACTTCCCTCCAACATTCTATTACATACAATGTGTGTTTGATAGTCAAACCTCTTGTGATAACAGCTCAAAGAAACTCTTTGATCTTAATTGATTAAAACATGATGTGATAATATTTAATCATACCGTCATGTTTACAGAAGTTAACAGGTATAATGTAGTTGTATATACTATGAACAACAATTTGGAGCCGGACAAGGATCTGGAGCCAAGGTTAGGAACCACTCTTTGTATAATAACTGTTTGCCAAGTGAGTTCCCAAACTTAAACCACTGACAAGTAATTAGTGGATGAAAAACTATTCAGATCCTTCACTGCAGTAAAAGTACTAATATCTTACTGATGAAACAATCCACTACAAGTAAAATACCTGCATTCAAAACCTTAGTCAAGTATGTTATTATCAGCAAAATGTACTTTAAGTGCAGAAAGTAAAAGTACCCATGAGGTAAAATGTACCCTGTCAGTGTTTTACTATTATATCTGATGTTTTAGGATATATATTGCTGCATTAACGTGTATGCTGCATGTTTTTAACTCATTTACATACTGTTGGTTAGTTTAATCAGCAATGCATCATATTCTATCAGATCATTGTATGTTTTAGTGTCAGTACAGTACATTATTTACCTCTGAGATGTAGTGCAATCTGAAAAACACCTCTATACCGCCACCTAGCGTCTGTGTCAGAGTGATATATAAAGACCAGGATTGTAACCAATTAAATGTAGTTATACAATGGTGCCTGGGTCCGCCCACATAGTGTCAAAAAGAAAATCTACTCGCGAGCGAGCAGGTGAAAGACTCGCGAGCGAGCAAGTGAAAGTTTAGCGAGCAGAAGAGCAGTGATAGTAGTCGCGCGCTACGGGACGCCCCTCGCACTCAAAGCATGGTTTTGTCCTTGCAGGCTGCAATTTCGCTCGCTGTAGCAGAGATATGCGGAGTAATGTAAAAGCGCTTGTCAAAGTAAAATGCTCCACACGCGCGCGCGTGGATCTTATTTGCGCTCTCGGATTTTGACAGTGATTTGCCTTCATAGGTGTGTGAGTGTGTGTTAGAGAGAGATCGAGAGGAAGGGGGGAATTATTATCATTATTCTTTTTTAAAGCAAGACAAAAGGCAATACATTAACACAAACAGTGAATACAGGCCCGTTACACGACATTTAGTCAGTGAATGAGAGAACAGGGTGATGTGGATATGTGTTTGTGCGTGTTTACATGTTTGTGTCTGAACAATGCGAAAGCGAAATTAAATAAATAAGTTTATAAAGTAAATAAGATAAAATATATTATATCATAATTTACATAATCATAACAACATCAATAATCATGTACACTTATTTTTAAATACCATTAGTAACACTTAACTATAGCAATAATAATAGTAATAATAATAATAAAAATAACAACAATAATAATAATCATGATGATAATAATAATAATAACAATAATAATAATGGATGGCTCCCAGACCCTGGAGGGAGCTGGTCCATTGTGGGTTCGATCCCTTTAAAAGACAAACAGTCCCCAGACCCTAAGGAGTGGCTGTTTATTGCCTTTTGACAGTCAGTTGAATCCGTTACTGGTGGCCCAGCCGTCCTTCGGAGGGGGGGATTATGAGGTTACCTCGCACATACAATGCCTCTCACATTCACTACTGAACCTCTTACACACACACACACACACACACACACACACACACACACACACACACACACACACACACACACACTCAAAAAGCTCTTGCATTCTATGCTCACACATAAAAAAAACCTCACATCAGTGGTGGGCCGTCAGGGCCTGCAAGGCCTTCTCTGCTGGCCTAAACAGAATCACAAAGTTATAGCTATTTTATAATTTAATATTTTTTCTTAAATACACTACATGTATTATAATTTACAAAAATATTTTTCCCATTATCTTATTTTCTCATTGCACAGCTACTGTCTTCCTCAGTTGCTCTGCTTCCAGTGCAACTTGTTTTAAGTAGAGCTTTTATCCAATCAGATTTCACCTCTGTGTCTCTAAGTAAGAACAGAGGCAGAGGCCTGCAGACTCACAAGTGAATCCATGTGCACTTTAAGTGAATGGGGACGATATTGTTGATTGTCATAGTGTTCAACCAATCAGATCTTTAGTTTGACATGTTGGGCGTATTCTTTGACGTGTCAGAGCCTGCTAGCTGGCCTACAAGTACGTCTGCATTAACGCAGCTGGCTCAGCATTAGCGTGAGCCGTGACTGGTCAGTGGGCTAGCGTGACTGTTTTGAAGCTGAAGCAGCTAGCAGAATTTAGTATTAGTAGTAAGAGTTCAAGTTGAAAGATATGTAAGAAGTTATGACATTGACATGACATTTTTAGCGTTTTGCTTGGTGTAGATTTTTTATTTTTTTTTACCTAGCTTTGTTTTTTTAACACTCAGTGGCTGAAGGAGGAGAAACGGATTTCTGGAGAAGGACATTTGAGGAAAAGCTGGACATCGTGTCAAAGGGTCGGCCAACAACACAGCTAGCATTCCTGACCCAGCCAGGAAAAGGATTTGTACGAACGGTATTTCAGCATCGGAGAAGCGTTACACATTTTATGGCTAGGAATGCGTTTTATTTGCAACTGAGCGTCTTGGTGTTTGATGCTACGCTACGCTGACCAAGGCAGGAAAACTACACCACGACAGGACACTCACAAGCTACGGTGTTTTTGAAAACTTTTGGAGAGACCCGAGTGGATCTACAACTCAACGAACACGTTCGCAGGAGGACCTCTGGCTGGAACTAAACCGCACCGATGTTCTGTTCAACCACGTCATTAAACTCTTCATTAACAAAGAAAGGAGGATGGACTTTGTCTTTAAGTGAACAGCAACTTTGGTAAGTGAAGTGCTTTTGTGTTTTTACATCTCCAGCAGCGTTAGTACTGTGTTAATTTGTCTATCGTGTCGTTTTCATGATATGGTTGATATTGTTCCCTCTGATGTGAATAATATTTGAATGGTGCTCTTCAGTGTGTGGTGGAATACGTGTTTTAGCGCCACAGAGTTGCTGGATTGATTTGTTGCTTTGTTGTCATATAAATATATGTGACTGGTTCTTGTGAGTTTGTTCTTGTCATTGTGTTAATTACGTTGATTCTGACTTGTCCATTAATGATGAAGCATCCCGTCATCGTGGGGTTAGGGTCGGACACCGAAAACATTATATTTCCTACAATTTAAGCTTCTGCATTTTCCAAACGCACTAGTATTATCCAAACGTATTGTTCGGTTCGTAAACCTCGTACCGAACGGTTTAATATGAATAAGTGTATCGTTACACCCCTAGAAACAAATAATAAGCGTAGCTGTGGCGCCATCATGAGGTTATTAGGAGGAGGTTCAACTGTAGTAGGACAGCACTGAAGGCCCAGGTATAAAATGCACGGCCCGCCACTGTCACACACGCACACAAAATGCTCAAAATAATTTCTATATGCGTTTCAGTAGTGTGTGTGAGATCCTGTTAGCCGTGTGGGTGAGAGGTTAAATCTTTTTTGATAAACGGAAGGCATTTAACGAGACGTTTAACTCATTGTCGCACAGATGCGTAACTCAGCAGTGTGATGTGTGTATCGGCTGGTATCAGTTTTCTTTTGCTACTTATTCCTATTCATTTATTATTTAATCATGTTATAGTGTTTCAGTTGCTACTATTATTGTTATATTATAAATATATTATTATTATACTTGGGCTATGCATCTTCTATAGTAGGTCCATAGTAATAATACTGTTGTCATGTTTTATGGTTATCACCCAAAAAAATGAGGAAAATATGAGTTGCATGCAGGAGAGTAAATAGTTTTTTTTCCATTTTCTGTTCATTTTTGGAAATTATTGCATCTATCTGTCATGTCTCGTAATTCTTTGTCATTTCAATATTTCCTGTTTTATTTTACTCTTGCTTCAGTCTTCACTTCCTCCATTTGTGTGTTTGTCAGCCTGCCCCATGGTTGACTGTTGCATTTAATTTTTCTGTAAGCTATTAATAATAATAATTTGAATGTCAACATTATGAATCTTCTATATATTCGGTACAGCTCTACGAGCAACACAACACTATTTTGAATTTGACAGACACCAATTTTGGAGCAATCAGCATATTATTGTATTTTTTTTAGATGCTTTTATTTTGGTTTTTGGTGGTTTACTTTGACGGGCACAGACAGCCTACATTCATAGCACTGGGAATATGTTTCAAGCGTGTGTGTTTTTGTGTAGGTGTGTGTGTGTGTGTGTGTGTGTGGGGGGGGGGAGATATGTGTGATCCAAACGCCATATAAAAAAATATCTGATGTGCATGTTTTCTTACATGTTTATGTGGCTTTCAAAAAATAGTAGTATACTTTCAAAGAAAACAAAAACATAGCTGATGACAGCTCCCTAGCTGGAGCCACTCCCAGCAGCACCTTGGAGAGCGCAGCTCAACAATACACACACATTCAATAGCATTCAATGGCTCACAGTAAAGCCAGATTTACTCTGTGTATCCATTAATGATATGCTACAGTTCAAATATATATGAACAACTGCTAAACAGCAACTAATAAATAAGCTGTTTAGTGAATCCCGTTTTCTATAAAACCATGGACTGCTGTGCATGACAAGCATGACACCTCAAATACATTTCAAAAAAGTAAAATGCTCCCTGGTGGAATAGCAGATGTCAGATTGGATGTATGTACCTGTACGTATATGACAAGTTTACATTTTATATTAGTTTTTTATCACAATGACTTCTCTTCTGTCTCATAATTTTAGGTTAGGTGTTAGGTGTGTAGGCGTTTGCTGAAGCACACCAAATGGTATGATGTATTTTGGGTTCAAAGAAGCGCCTGTAATAGGTGGATAAACACTGTTGTACATTCTTCACTGTAAAAGTCCCTGTTATTTTCCCTGCTTACTCATTCTGCAGCAGTATTGGTAAACTGGTAAATGGTAAACTGGCAAAACTGGCATAAGCAAGCCCTTCTAGCTTGGTAGATATGTTTTGTCTACAATTTCTCTCACAAAACTTTTCTTCATATTTAATGTGTAATGTAATGATGTAATTCATACAAATCCTTATTTCTTTCCTAAATGGTTCCAAAGAGACATAAATCATATTCTCAAGCTTTTTGATGAATTTTGTAAATGGTAAATGGATGTACTTGTATAGTCTTTTCTAATCTTCCGACTATTCAAAGCACCCATTCATACACTGATGACAGGAGCTACCATGCAAGGTACCACCTGCCCATCAGGACTCTAACTCAGTCACACACACCGATGGCCTTCAGGAGCACATTGACATGTACTAGAGGAGCTGGGGATTGAGGGACAACCCACTCTACGTTCTGAGCCACAGTAAGTGTTTCATTGATCAATAGTAACTAAGAAACAATCGTGGCGCATGGGGTAGAGAGGGCTGTCCACTAACCGCAAGGTTGGAGGTTCGATCCTTGGCTAACACATGTCCTGTGGCGAAGTGTCCCTAAGGAAGACACTGATTTCAGTTTCTCAGCAGCCCACTGCTCCCTATAATATACATGCGTTAAATGCAGAGAATACATTTCCCCACTGTGGGACTAACACATTGATTGATTTTATTTATTTATTGAGAAATAATTAATTCTGCAATAAACACATTTTCCTATAAATCTTCACAATAAAGTTCTGCTGTTATTTTGTTATCTAAAAGCTTTTATTTTGAAGCAGCAAAATCAGGAAATGTTACGTTAAGTTGATGAGAGACCTACGTTTGACGAATTGTCCAGATTGTGCCCACATGCTGTCCACACCTCATTGTACACCACCGCATGTGGCCTGGCTCCCACATCCCACAAGCAATATCCAATCTGGGAGCGTAGACTTGATAGTTAATGTGTGAGCATGATCGGATGACAAAGAGTAACAGCAGCATAAGACCATTCTCATTCTTTGACTTCAAACTGGCAGCAGGAGCAGGATGGAGCAGGATTTCAACCTTCCAGTTCAAGATTTAAGAGATTTAAACTCTAACACACTACTGTGATGATTTCACACACACTGCTGAAAAACACAGACAGAGGGCTGACAGCAAATATTTTGAGTTGATATCTGTGTATATGTGTGTCTGTGAATATGAGGTCCAGTAGAGAATGCAAAGGTATTTGTGTGTGTTAGTACATAATAGTGTGTAAAAGGTTTCATATTTATGAGTGACAGGTTCACTTCTGAATGTGCAAGCTCTTTGTGTGTGAGAGGATTCTTTGTTAGTGTGAGCATGTACACAGTATGTAAGGGCTGTTTGGGTGAGTGTAAGAGGTTCACTCATGAGTCTGAGAGGCATATGTAGGTAATTATGAATTATGGCCTATATGGCACCCCATAATACAGGGCTGTTCTGTCTCAGAGATTTTGTACTAATTTTCTATAGTGAAGGGCTAGCTAGCATTGAAGGTTTGTTTCCAAAGGGTTTAATTGCATCAGTTTATAAATAAGATGTAATTGTTCTCATGAAAACCCAGGAAGAGATTTAAAAAGTGGAGGGAAAAGTTAACCTCATCAGCTGCAAAGGTAGTACACACACCCGAAAAGTACTGGCAGTTGGGAGTTGGTGTGTGTGGGAGTTGGCTACCAAGGGGTTGACTTGGAAGAAGGATGGTTTCAAATATCTTGGAGTGTAAAAGAAAATTGTCGCACACCACGACACAAAAAAACCAACACTTCGATTTGACAGTCTTCTTCAGGGTAATGAACTGCCATGTTGAAGCGTTGGTAAATTATATAATCCTTTTTGCAGCGTGGCTACGAATGTGCAACAATTTTCCTGTACACTTAAGTTTTCACTGTGGTCAGCACCTTTCCAACAGTGGTGTGGGTTCCCCCTCTCTCTCATCAATGATACTATAGCCCAAAAGAAGTGGGAGGGGGTGGTAGTTAGAAGAAAGACTTAATAAATGGAAATAGCTGAAGCCACGAATCTCCTTTAGACCGGTGGTGGGCCGTCAGGGCCAGCAAGGCCTTCTCTACGATATTGTTGATTGTCATAGTGTTGAACCAATCAGATCTTTAGTTTGACATGTTGGGCGTATTCTTTGACATGTCAGAGCCTGCTAGCTGGCCTACACGTGCGTGATTGGTCGGTGGGCTAGCGTGACATGTTGAGCGGTGACAATCCCAATATCTGCTGCCTCTGTCAAGCGGACATTTTCAGCCTCAAACGCATTGAAACGTATTCAAGAAATACAACTGGGGAGGCTCGACTGTCTTCACTGGCGTCCATGAATCCAGAAGGACTTCTTACTGGAACTAAAACGCACGGATGTACTGTGAGATTAAACCCTTTATTAACAAAGAAAGGAGGATGCACTTTGTCTATAGTGAACAGCAGCTCTGGTAATTTAAATGCGTTTGTTTTTACATCTGCAGTAGCTTTAATATGCTTGTTTATATATTATTATTTGTACAACTTGTTTTTATGAAGATAGATTTTGTTTGGTTTTATATGTGATAGGAACCATTGTTACGTCCTATGTTGCTCTGGGGACATATTTAGCCGGTGCCAGTGTTGGCAACTTGGTGACTTTCTCGCTAAATCTGGCGACTTTCCAAACCCTCATGGAGACTTTTTTGTCAAAAGCTACTGGCGACAAATCTAGCGACTTGTTCTGGTGTTGTTGGAGACTTTTCTGGTGTTTTGACTCGTGACAGCACGTACCGTTCTGCAGTTACTGCCGTGAACGAGCAGCGGGTGCTGCCGTGAGCCCCTCCGCCGCCACTAAGCACTCACAGGTGGGTACTCTCACAGCAGCCTCACGCAGCAGTCCCAGCTGCAGTCAGAGCAGAGAGGAGACGCACTCTTGGCAGTTAGTGTATCTACAGGTGTTGGCTTCATTTTTACACAAAACACATAATAACCCTAGCTGTGTTTCAGCTGCAGGACGGCAGTGAAGGCCCAGGTATAACATGCACGGCCCGCCACTGCTTTAGACAGAACAATTATCATTACCAACCTGGTATCTGCTCTGTGGCATCGGTTGGCCTAAATCCAGCCTAAAGTGCTAATACAAAAGTTATGGATTTGACGTTATGCATTTGAACCTCTGTGGATTACCGCCTTTTCTTTTCTAAGACATGGAACCTTTTTAAATGTAAGAGACTGGAGCCTATGTTCTCGGCCCTGCCGATTGGAAGAGCCTCTCATTAATGGGGCTAGAAGGGGTGGTCAAGAAAGCACAACACCACGCCTCACCACCTCACCTGTCTACCACTGGAGCACTCAATCGGAGAACAGTGGATGTAGAAAAAAACAAAACATTAAATGATCTAAAAACATTGCCGTTGAACTTCAAAAAGCCAACTAATAGTATTTAATCACTGTGCTTGCAATAATTTCACCAAAAACAAATATTTCAGAGAAAATCTTAACTTTTGACTTACTTAATCATAAGCAGAAGAACAAACCATGAAAACACAGCTCCTAAGTTCAGCCGCTCCACATCAAACAAAAACAACAGCTGATGCAACTCGGTTCCTAGAAAAGTTTCACCGGTCAAATCCCAGCTCAGCTCCAAAACTGAGCCAGTGCTGTAGGAATGGTTCAGATTCATTGTGCATTGCATTTTGGAGGATGATCACATGCATGTGGTCAGCAGCAGAGAGCCAGTGACCCAGCCTACTTCTCAGGTTACACCCTATATATAACACCCCCCCTCCCTCCTCCCTCTCCAGCACAACTTCCCTGAAAGCTCGCTCTCCTTCCACACTGGTCCTGGCGCTCTCCGCTGTCATCTGAGATCCCCTCCGCCTCTCAATGTTTACCCACCATCTGCCTGTCAAACGTCTGCATGCTCAGGATTACCCGAGACCCTTTTCTTCAACGGTCTTTCTTTTGGAATCAGGAGGGTCTGGGGGTCTGACCTGAGAGGGGCAGGAGAGGAGAGCTGAGACTCAAGCTGCCCACATCTCTGGCTTCCTCCTCCTTTCTTCTAGCTTGTTGCTTTGGGAGTTTTGGTTCAATCTGACAGGTAGGAGTTAGGCTTTGGAGGACTACCGCACCATGGATCACTCTTTAATTGGTTGTCTACGCAGCCCTCATGCCCCGGCCCAAGGCCTGCACCCCGCAGTCACCCACTCGCCACTGACCCTGCTCGGCCAGAGTGACCACGTCTCCGATCTACCCAGCTCCTCGCCCCCCTGCAGCTACTCTGGAGGAGAGGACAATGGAGTGTTCAGCAGCACAGGCCACCTGCCTCAGCAGCAGCACCCACCTGGCTGGCCCGTCCCCCCCCAGGTGCTCTCACCTAACAGTGTCTGCCTGCCACTGCTCGAGGCCACGGCAGCCCCGGAACCGTGCTCGCGGGGCCGGAACCTGTGTGGCTCCAACCCCAGTTTGGACAGCGGTGAACCCAAGGGTGCGTCGTGTGTAACTGGGGAATATGGCCGTCATAGTCTGTCTTCAGAGGAGCCAGACAGAGGGAGCAGTAAAGGCACGAATGATAACTCAGGTAAGAGCACGAAGTCCAGCTTCCCAAGAAACTGTATTTTTGTATAAAGCTCACAGTTTAATTTCCTCTGCCCTGCAAACACATTTGTCTTTTCATAGAACCTGCTCCCCTTAATGAAAGAAAAATAAAAATATTTATTTATTAAGAGTGTAAAATATAGGGGAATTAATTTTCGTGCACAATATGTCTTAATCAAGCGGCAACCTCTGGTTCTGAAAAGTGAAGCAAATGCAGAAGTACATTAAAGCTGCATTCTCTCTAGTGTCCACCAGGGGCGACTCCTCTGGTTGTATAGAAGTCTATGAGAAAATGACTCTACTTCTCTCTTGATTTATTACCTCAGTAAACATTGTAAACATGAGTTTATGGTCTCAATCTCTAGTTTCAAGTCTTCTTCAATACAGCATGATGTTCATTTAGTACATTATGGTCCGTTTAGAGTCAAACAGACCATAAAGCAGGGGATGCTTTAGGGTAGGCAGCCTACTAAAATCCAAGATGGCAATGGTCAAAATGTCGAACCAATGGGTGATGTCACAACGATTACATCCACTTCTTATATATCTATTATATATCTTGTCTATGATCTTTGATAATACAGCTTTTAAGCCAGTATGAACAAAAAGTCCAAGTGTTGGATATATTGTGTAAACTCCGACCAGATTGTTAAATCCCCTTACAAAACACAGAGGTCATGACCTCAGTCTCTTCAATAGTAGCAGAGGCCCAAAACAGATTCATCTATACTGTTGGTGGGACTCACTGGTGAAAGAAAGGGAAGGCGATGGTGAAAGTGCAGGTCATGAAATCTAACTTCCTTGCATAACTTTTAAAGGTCTTCATCTGCACACATATGCTTCCTCCTGGTAAAAGGAGACAACGATATATCCACTCATCATTTAGCCCCTCTGACGAGCAGCTCAAAGCAGTTGCCAAGTTGAGAACTTTCCGATTGTCCCGAGTTTATGTCCCGGCCAGAAGAAAGGGAGCTTTGACTGACAGAATGAACACTTTGACAGGATATGCTGAAGCTGCCAGCGTCCTAAACCAAATCCAATTTCCTAACTCTAACTTCATTGGCACTCACATAAAGCCACAGGACTTTTATTACAGTTTTCTCCGGACTTAATGTTCTCAAAAAAGGATCTAGTGATGATGAAATATGCATAGTTATTATTGACCTACAACCCTGAAAAAAGCAAGCTGTATGCACAGTGAAGCTGTCAAAAAGTGACCTCCCTATGTATCAACTGCACTGATTCAACTGTCACAATAACTGGAAACACAAATCCTGTAAAGTCAAGAGTTCAAGGCTAAGTAGAATCTAATCAAAAGTAATTAATTACACTCAATAAAATATCATGACAATAGGATAATATGAATGTCTTTGTTTAACTCACTGGGTGGCTGTAGTTTCACATTATGGCACAGACTCTTTCCTGGCACACTGCGGTTTGTAAGCACATCCCTCATATACACAACTAATGAAATGTCAGCTGGATTTATGCACTGGGGACATTAGAACACAGTGGAAATGATTATTCAGTGTTTTTTAACCATGAAGCATTACTTTCAAAACGATCTCCTCATTGTCATCATTCACTGACCACAAATACATAAAAGGTATCCTTGAAATATGTAATGACAGACAATATGAGTGGGGAAAATATGATTTCACCCTTAGAGCAAGAACAATCCGGGAAAAGCTCAGTGTTTGTATTCAATAACAGGACTAAAAGGTTTCTCCAAGACTTCATATTGACTTTTCCCTTTATTCTGAAACATCCAGATAACTGTGACAACATACATACTGTCACAGACACAGACAACATATTCCATTTATTCTCTTAATAATAATAATAATAATAATATTAATAATAATAATAATGATAATAAGATTGTACTCATCAAGTTAATTGCTAAGATTTCACAACCAGAAAATATCGCCAGAAAAAAACCACATAAATGGTATTGAAGGATTCAGCAAAACTGAATTACATCCAATGCCAATGTTTTCTCTTTCTAATATATCTGCACCCTCTGGCTACAGATATAGTTAAATAATTATTGGGGTTATGGCAAATAAAAATGTTTAAGGAGTGGTTAGGTTTTGGCAGCAAAAATATTCTGGTTTGTGAAAGATTATGATATGAAGGAAAAATATTGAAGGTACCTGGTAGAATGTTGACTTCTAGTAGTAGAGTTACAGAGTAATGTTTTGATGATTGTATCCCTGTTTTGTTTGCATGTGCACAAGGAAACACTAACTGGTAGGTGGTATTAACACACCAAGAAGATTAGAAATGTGTCAGAAAAAGGCAGGAAGTTAGCCAAGTAGAAAACATGGATCTGAACAATGCAGGTTTCAATAAGAATTGCTTTGTAAATGTTTTCTGCAGTAAATTCTTTTACAACAGATTTGTTTGAGCTCAAGGATATAAATACTCCTTTTTTTGTTATATATGCTGAATGTTAAAAGACCTTTGTTTAGTACAGGAGTGAAGGAGTAAAACTCCAGCGGATACCTTTAACTATCAGACCTCTTAACAATCCAACATCACCACAAAGAAGTTTTTTATGAACATGCATTAATTTATTGATTTTTAGATTTGTTAAACTGGACAGTTCACAAAGATGAATTGCAACAAAACATAAAACAATTGCACTAATGTCGCATTATAATAATAAATTAGTAATTTTCTTCTCTTTGCCATAACCTTCATTCCGCTTGCTACAAAAACCAGATTAGGGCAAACGGACTGAATTTAAGGTATTTTTAGAAATACATTTTATAACTTCAGTTCTTTTATACTCAGGTTCTTTTTTATCATTCCCCATATTGGTGAAGAACATGAAAGTAAAGTAGATTCACCCAAAAACAACTGTACTTTGTGCCAGACACTAATTGTGTTTCTCACTGTGAGAAGTGAGCTTCTTTAGTTTCTAAATGTATAAATAAGTGTCAAGCTGCAAGCCCTAGGTATAGATACTTTCAGTTTGTACCCACGGTAAGTAAGGCTCAGGAGAGGCTTGGGACCTTCGGGTAGAGGCTTAGCCCTAAACTGTGCAGTCCAAAGGTTCCACTGTAAATGAGGTTCTTGTAACTCTCCTCTCTCATATGGCACTCAGTTATTCCAAATACATTTGGTAAATAGTTGCTTCATTCTTCACCACAAAAAAGTTAGACAGGGTAAGAAATGAGCAGTCGGGCCGGTGGTGAACAAAATTCCAGGTTAAAAACGTAAACTTATAAAGGGCAACAGTAAAATTATTTTTTAAAACTGTCCATCGGAAACACCAATCACAGTTTACAGACCCACTTCCTGCATCGTCTTTTACCGGCTATACTTAGCTGGGCACTCACAGTTGTAATAAACTGAAATGATCCTTTAATAATTATTTACTCTAAAAGCGTATTTAGAATGTTTTAATTTGTATTATAGTTGTTAGAAATGAGAACATTAATCCCAAACAAAGAGTTTTACTTTCCCCTCTTGATATAATCCAGCTGTCTGGTAGCCAACCCGCTGCTTGGGTTGAATAGCACAGGTCACAACAGGTCACAACACCACGTTCTCAGCAGTAAAAGGTGATTGGCACTCTTAATCGTCTTGCTTTCATTGTATTTTTGTTTCAGATGGGCACCTGCAGTTTGACAACCCCCCCCTCATTTTTTTCAATCCTGTTTTTGTTCTTCCTCTCGCTCTCTTTTGGAGACTAAGCTGTGGTTGGAAAATGTTCTGTTTTTCATTTCAGAGTCCCAAGACAGGAGCCTTAAGTCAGACATGACCAGCAAGCCCAGGAAGGAGCGCACAGCCTTCACCAAAGAACAGATCCGGGAACTGGAGTCCGAGTTTGCACACCACAACTATTTGACCAGACTGAGACGCTACGAAATAGCTGTCAACCTCGACCTCACGGAACGACAAGTAGGGTACCTACTGAAACACTGTGAATCATTGTGTGGCCAGAGGAGGAGAAAACAGGAGCAGCACCATAAATATTGTAGCCATCAAAATCTTACTAGCTAATGTACTCTAAGCAAAACAATATAATTAAAGAGGGACACAATACGCCATGGTTTTTATTTATTGTCAATCGACAGGTATCACTGACAACCACTCAAGTCATAACACTGGAAAGTTATAAAATAGCTTTTTAAAGCAGAGATCCGTCTCTTTGTCTTGAGAACAAGGGTTTTGGTCTTCATAGATGACATATGTTATGTTGTTTAGTGGCGGAAACGGGAGAAGAAGTACTTTGATGGGTCAGATTAAATGATAAATATCTCTGTGTTCAGTAACACACAATTAATTAAAGTTGCCAAATCTGAAAGCCGTGCTTTGTACATGTACTTTTGGACTTTGCTTGCAGAAATAGAAAATATCCAGTATTTCTGTTTCAAGGTGTTTCTTAACCAACAGTTTCTTTGCAAGGTGTGAACACTATCATAAGTCTACTACCGAAGAGCCTCGTGGATGTATTGTGATTACTTTCTTGCAAACAAGATGCAAGATACAGCCAGCTAGCAGTTTTTATCCAGACTTTGTGTCAAGCTAGGCTAAACATATCCTGGACATATCTCTGTATAGACACGCAGATATGGAGCTGATACCAATCTTCTCATCTGACTTTGGGTAAGACAACTGTTGTCACTGTTGGACAGTTTGTTTAAATGCTCTGCACACCCACACAGGCGCTTCATGAAGTTGGGGGTAGTTATGCTGGGAATTATTTGTGGCATGAACTAATACAAAGCATTAGGTGTAGGCTGTCCCGCCCTTAAAGGTAATGGGAGAAGTCAATGAAGGGCACGTCCACACAGTCCTGTGGCTGGGCAGTTGTCAATGTTCTCCAGAGAAATGACTTCACATCGCCTTTGTCAATTTATGCAATTATTATTTGAATACTGATTAATCCCATTTAAACATTTTGTAAAAGCCAAATTGATGCCTACAGGCATTTCCTGATTAAGGTCCAAAATGAACAATCTTTATCATCCTTTACTGAGAATGTCAAGCTGTGATTGAGGGTGTGGAATAGACAGCAAATGAAATAAGAAAGAGTTCCTTCTAAAATGGCAAATGGTTCATTTCTTTTTTCTTTTTTTCCACTTAAACAAATTATACAAAACATGTTTATTGCTGAGCTTTCAATGTCTTATTATGTGTAGTTTGGATAGGGCCAGGCAAGTTGTTTCCTCATGCTTCCAGTCTCTATGCTAAGCTAGGCTCATTATGATCTTACTTAAATCATTTATCAGTGTGGATTTCTAGCCATTTAAAAAAAGAATAATGACAAATAACAAAAAAAGTATCTTGATCAATAATATGACACTAGTGTTATTGTAGGGCTCATATGTATTATCTTTAGATTACAGGACTGTTCTTATAGCCACCAGTTTCTGATACATTCAAAAAAGTGAAACATTTAGTAATAATTGCTTTAATTTCCCACATATTCAAATAAAACATTGACATCCATCAATGTGGATGAAGACATTATATATATAGCTTGCATTAAAAAACTGTACAGGAGAAAAAACCTCAGTGTTTTGACATTAGCAAACGGTTGGACATGTCACACTAATTCTCTGAGGCGAATCGATTCCAAACCACAGAGACTCTTTGACATGTCAGCGTGCTGCTCTCAGTGTGTGTGAAGTGACTTTTTGATGCTGTGTAATACAGTCCAGATGCTTTTCTTAATGCTTACAAAGAAACATTTGTATGAAGTTAGCATTACTGCAGATGTGGACACCAGCCCAGCCTCATTCTGGGTTTTAAAAGTGTTCGGAAACACTTGTGTGTTAACAGTCATTGTGAAACGAGTCAGATGACTGCTTCAGGGTATTTATGGAAAGTATAGGGAGTAGTGTGTCAGCTGTATGGAATTTCTGTTAGCATACTTTGGTAATATATTACAATATATGAGATAATACTGTTAAGTCTGTAGGGAAATGATGACAGACGTTATCACTATTGGTTGGTGCTAATGTTCGGCCCAGATTATCTGGTAATGTGAGCAACAGTAAACGTTCTCGCCCTTGAGGCTAACGCTAGCTAGCATATTACTGTTGACAGATATTAAATCTGACAGTTCAAATCTCACCTCCAGTTCTCGCTGGAGAATACACCGTTTTCACCACTTCTCCCCAGCTCTGTTCTCATTCAGACTTGTTTAGCTTTCTGGTTTTGTTTCTTCTCACTGCAAAGCTTTTCTACAGCAAGTTGTAGCACCACGTCAGCCTCTGCTTCGTTCACATCTGCACCCCCATGAGATCACGTGAGGTACGTTGCTCTCTCTGCCACGATACTCTTAATAACATTCTGTAGTGTGTGATGTGCCATTCCTGTCAAATCTTGTAGTTTATGCATGTTTGAAGTTAGAGACAAGACTATATGTGAAGATTCTTCTTATGTGTGTGATGCGACCGATTTCAAAATCTGTAGTCTAATAGTGGCATGAAACAGACCAGTGAACAGTCCAATAAAGTAGTCCAGCATGCTCCAGATAAAAGCATGTACAAAATATCAGCAGATGAAGTTTTCCTATTTTGTGCAGCGTTCCAGATGACCAGTGGTGATGAAAGGTTCATTCAGTGACACAGGAATGTCTCTGAAGCACTAACCAATATGGTTGTTAGTTATTCAGGTGTGGAACAAGCAGGGGTTTCCTCGTCCTTGTTACCTCTCTCCTACTCGGTCTGATGGAAGCTGTCCAGGGAGCTTCGGACTGTTGAGGTGAGGACTGTAATAAGCAGAGAAGAACAGGTAGCGTGACAGCTTTCTATGATCAGAGTTGGTGTAGAAAAACCTGGTAAAGGCTGATTTATACCTCTTACTTCCTCTTGGCAATTACATTTGTTATCGTCATTTTTCATTGGTGGAAAGGTCCACATCCGACTAAGCATGAATGTGGTTAAAGAAAGAAAAACTCAATACTACTAAGATTAATACTAATAATCATGTCCTGTTCTACTTCGGTTTAACTCATCTGGAGTACTTGACTAATCGTACAGACATTCTAAGATGGTGGGAATCCTACCCTTGGCTAGGCTGTCAACTGAAGATCACAGAGCATATCAGACATGAGTAACGTCACCAGCTGTATGTGTGGGCATAGTCAACTGCAAAGTCTGATAAAAACATATCCACTGCATTTATAGTTTTGCAGGATAACCCCCACTTGTAGTCAAGTTGTATTGAGATTCCAAAAGCAAATGTATGTGACAGTGAATATTGTGGTCCCTGGGTATGATTGGAGACAAGGCACCTGATTCTTGAATGATTTTTCTCTGGAATTTTGTTTCTTATAGTTGTATGACCTGACTGGGACGCGGTTGTCCCTGACAAATCCAATAGGGTTTTTGTGTGGTTTAATTTGGTAACGATGTACAAGTCTGTAGGTTTGCTCTTTCTGGCCTTTACTAGCCCTAACTCTCCCCGGTACACAACCGGGGGAGTTTGTCCGTGCTCACATGGGTACCTGACCAGCATGTGAGGAACTTACAAGCAAGTCTCCCCCATGGTTGGGCTGCGGTGTAGTACAACACTTTCTTCCCCACTTAGAGTTCATCATGGGAAGCATTTTAGTTGTAGTAGGATTTACGGCCTTCTGCACTCTTGTCCAGATGTTTGTAGGCGAAGGTGAAGAAACATCTGGTGTGTCATATATGCTTTTGCAATGCTAGTTGGCGGGTAGAGCCAGCCGGGTGTAGTGGAAGGATCATTTGTCTGCCTGTCATCATTTTGAAGGGAAATAACCCAGTTGTTTCTGGGTTGCTCTGATGGCCACCAAGACCAAGGGAAGTTTGGCAGTCCAATCTCTGTGATTGTCTCTTTTTTGTTGACCAGAGTTCGGTTTCCCCGCTCTACCTGACCGGAGGCTTGAGTGTAGTGGCTGATGTGAAGGTTGGCCTCAGGCATAGTACCCGCCAAAGCTTGCGCATGACATTGGCAGTCAAGTGGGCTCCCATGTCAGAGTCGACCTGACTGGGAAGACCAAACCATGAAAAGATGTGATTCATCAATAAGAAGGCGGTCATCTGAGCTGTGTCTTTTGGGGTCAGTAAGAACTCCAACTCTTTGGTGAATTTGCATGTGACCGTGAGGAATGAAGGATTTGTTACCTCTGATTTGGTGAGAGGCCCTACCCAGTCAATTTGGATGTTTAACCAAGAGATGTCTATTCGATGTAGTGAAGTTAGTTTGACGGAACCGAATTTGAATTGGAAACCAAGAGGCCCTTGATCCCCCGCTGGGACGAGCGTTTGGTTAAAGAGGTGCACCAAGTCTTGGACAGACCAAAAGTCGGTATTGAGCTTAACGCGACCAACAGAGTCATCTTCAAGGCTTGAAAGATGGCATTGGTTTTTGTTGGTTTGTTATATGCCACCTGTGCATCAGGGTGGTCAGGGAGCAATGGAGGGGGAATGCGCCTGAAAAGGAAAAGTGTTGAAAAGGAGTGCTTTGTGAACAAGCACATCTTTAAGCGCCCTCGATATAAACGTTTTTATTTATTTCTTTTACCATTCCTCTGTTCAGGAGTGGGTGTATGGGTAGTATCAGTGAAAGAAACAGTTATTTCAGCTGAGAGTTGTCAAATTTCGTTTTTTTTATATTTGTTTGCAGTTAGAAATGAAATGCACATGAAAGAAAGATCCAGTTTATGTTTGTCAAAGCATGTTTTACAGGTTCTATAAACGGGATTCAGAGCATTCTTAAGCATTTAGTACAAAAAGGATCTGACTATAGTTGTCCATTGAGTAAGTTGTGGAGTTCAGCAGGGACTTTGTCCTCTTCCTCCTGGGTTACACTGTAGAGTTTAAAGAAACCACCATTTTCATGTCTTATTGTTTTGTGTTTCCTCTCAGGTGAAGGTATGGTTCCAGAACAGAAGGATGAAGTGGAAACGTGTGAAGGGAGGCCAGCAGGGGGCAGTAGCACGAGAGAAAGAGCTGGTGAATGTAAAGAAAGGGATGTTACTGCCATCTGAGATTTCAGAGATCATAGGACTGAAGCACTCTGCCATCTTGCAGAAGCTGGTGACCAAGGATGACAGCCACGACAGCGACCAGAGCTCAGAGAATTCTAACTTATGATGTTCATGGTGTTCTTGGACTGGACTGAAATGAAGGAAACATTGGTGAGACATAAAAACTACATGCATCAGCTTGCTGTGAGCAAAGTCTCCGAACAAACTATAAAATGAGACTTACAGAACATTCCAGAGATGCTTATCCTTGATGAAGGGCTTTTATTTTACAATGTCCAGAATTTGTTTCGGTCAAACTCTATTGTACTTCGAGTAACAATCAACACAAACATGTTTATGTTGCATGTACAATAAACTGAAGATCAAAGAGGTCCCAAGAGTTTAACCACCATACACCCAAACTTCTCGAGCTATTTTTTTGCATTGAAAAATAAGTAGCTGGTTAACATGTGTTAATCTCCTTGTTCTGCTCTAAGGTTTACATGCTTTTTACTTGCAAAAACTTGGATTTCCAATGCAAATAAATGAGAAAAATCCAAATGTGTTGTTGGCGATTTCTTAACATGTATACATACCATTAGGCACAGACAACTGCCTGGGGCCCCAATCAGCTATAGATTTATCATGATGTACCCATCAATAAATTGGAACAGAGTAATCTGTTCCAACAGAGTAATCTGTTCCAAGAGAATACGCAGCAAGAGGTGCATCCCGGTTGTAGGATAATCATATTCTGTTCCATTTTCCAAAACTGCTCTTAAAACTCATCTGTTTAAATCTGCTTTTAACCTGGAAAGTCAGTTATGTATGTTTCTTTTTTTCATGTTGTTCCTTACCGTTATGATGTCATCCATTTTGTTGTTATTATAATTGCTTTGATTGTTTCTGTTTTTGCCATGTAAAGTGTCTTTGAGTGCCTTTTAAAGCACTATATAAATAAAATGTATTATTATTATTATTATTATTTTGAGTCATATGCCTGCATTCAAATTGCATGCAATGCATTATATAAAGATTATAAGGCACTACAACTATGAAGGGAGTATGAAAATCTGATGTGGAGCCGCAACATCCTGTGCTGTCCGTCAAGCCTGTTTCCCCAAACCTTCTCATTACGCCGGAGATGTCAGCCGAGGAGCTCCAGCTGACACTCCGCATCAGCTTTAGAACTAAAACACCAGTCTAGTGTCGCTCCCCAGTCACCTGTTAAACAGCAAACCCTTTACTCATCCCGTTTCGCGCATCGCCTATTTTTACGCCCTACGTTGTGATGCGTGCCCAGGTTCTCAAGCTGGGTGATTTAGTGGATCTTTATGATTCATTTTTAAACACGTCTGATGATGTTGTCAGCCCCTCCTGAAGTAAGAAGTGTGCCTTTTTCTGTTGAGGTGGTGACAGATGAGGGGACATCACGCAGCCAACTTGTACCCACCGTGTCTGATGGTCATGGAAATGTAGAGCCGCATCAACCAGCGTCCAGCCAGTACACCAGATGTGCACAGCTTGCAGATGTAATTATTTGTCTCACTTCGAATTAATTACATTTTCAAGGGGTAAAAGTTGCTCAATAGCGCCCCATACAAAATGTTACACCAAAGCCCCTGTGTTACCTTTCTCCGAGATGTAACATGGGCAGTACCATCTTAAGACATTGGATTGGGATGCTAAATTGTTTGTGAAACTATGTTGCAGTGGCATTGCGGCAAAGCAAACGCCTTTTGCCTCAAAATAGGAACTTGATGTTACATTGCCACGGCGACGCAGCAAATTTGATTGTTTTGACATGAAAAAAAGAAATAGTTGTAACTTGACTTCACATTATCAGATCTTTTTCCAGATGTGACACTACTGAAGACATATACAGTGTCATGTTGCACCATAGACAGAGCGCCACTTACTGGCCACAACATTTACAGTGGCCATACTTTAGCATACTGTTCTTTGCAAATGAACCAGATCACCCTCAAATGTAATCAGTGTAGAGTTAAGATGTTAGTGATGTTCATTAATGAAGGTTTTAAGTTTTTTGTGGAATGCGTTACTGTGGAGATGCAGTCACTTGAGCATACAATTTCCAATCTGCTCAAATTTCACATGCTGGATCAGAGTCCAGGCCTGAAGACAGCTACAGGTCTTGTCTGACAAACAGTGATTTATTTATTGTAACATTCTTTTATTTATTCCTCTCAATATTTCCACATTCATTTTCTAATTATTTTACAGATGTATTCCTTATTATGGCCTCCATATTCTATGGCAATAAAATGGCATTGAAATAAAGTTTTCAAAGAAATGTTTGCTTCTCGCCGCAATTCAATCCGATTCTTTCTTTGCAGGTTGCCTCTGTTTGAGTGACAAAAACAGGTGACCTGCGTGTGCGTGTGCCCGTGAGCGCAGCAGGCATGGCATCACCTCAGATCAGTCAGCGTAAAGAAACTGCATCAAGTCATCTGTTAGGCAGACCGAGACAGGAAAGCTCGCCACCATTCCTTCGCAATAAAAGTGTTAAATACGTTTGGAAACCAGGGTATCCAAGACAAGAAAATGTGGGCAAATTAGAAAATTACAAACTGGAGTGCACTCAAATAGATCAGCAGTTTTTATATAGAATATCTGACACCTAAGAAGTAAACTAAATCAAGCCTTTTCCAGAAGTCAAGCAATAGTTGGAATTGTACCTATTTGATCTCTTTACAGTACAGTCTATGGTGTAAACCCTGACTATTTGGATCTGTATCATTTTCAGACCTAATACTGTATGAGTATGAGAGGGTGAAGAGAACGTTTTGTCTTTATCAGTAAAGTAACTCAGTATCCACTTTCCAAGCTTTCTCGTGGGCTTCCTCAGCGATTGAATTTGATGACTTGACAAAAATCTGTCAAACTATGAATTGTTGTAAAAGTACAAAACAACAAGTCCTGTTGTTTTGAGCTTTGCTAACCGATTTCTTTTTCAAAAGAAGACACTTGAAAAGGAGTTGCATAGTAGCTCATGAGGGCTTTATTTTGAAAAAGCGTAGCGGAAGTGGTGTTGTTTGGTAGTGTGTCTTGGTGCCTCTAAGGAGCGAGAGGGAGTCCTCTCAGCAGAGCGGCTCAGTGGGGCTGAAGCTGTGAGAGCACGCAGCACGAACACAGCGCCTCGGAACACACTTTGAGCTTCTGCTGGACCAACGGTAGCACTGGTGGAGAAGGTAAGTTTCCTCCAGTGATACTACGGATTGTGTAGAACACACCTTGATTACCGCGTCAACACATTTAGCTCAACAGCTGAAAGAAACGATTTCCCCACATTAATACTGTTCTCCATTCCTCTGTGCTGTCATGTAACGTTACCGTACGTTTCATTCGCGTTACATGTAAATGTGCAGGCCTAGCTGTCAGCCACACTGGGCCCAATAAAGCCAATTTAACTTTTATGATTTTCAATCACTTGTTGGCATCATAGCCTGAAGTGGAGCCTACTCTTGTCTACCGTTACACGCCAGGGTCCGCTTAAGACCCTGCACTGTATCTGCATCCAGCTATAACGCTAGCTTTATCTTTTCTCATTTGATAAGAATAGAGGTATTCCCTGAATCATTAGTTACCGCGTACCAATCTACCTCACCGAGCGACACTGCGTTCCACTCTTTTACCGGTCACGGTATTTATTTCCAGTCTCCCGTTAACGTTAACAGTGGACAAGTGGACCGTTATTCAGCTGTTAACCAATTATGAAAGTCGTAATTTATTGCAGTTGAATGCGGACCAAATTTACCCGAACATGTTTGAGTTGCCACAGGGCTTCTTTAGGTGTGTGTGTGTGTGTGTGTGTGTGTGTGTTTATTTGCAGCAAGGCTATATTAATTAACATATTTTTGAAATCCAAACCTTGTCCTTTCAGCAGAGGAGAGAAGTAAGTATGTTGCCAAGCAACACGTTTTTGAAGCCTAGACTGTATTTGGGTGTGATGTGAAACATGCTCCCGATCTGTCCCCATCACTGAACACTGGCTCAACGGTTACATCTGGGATTTTGGTCAAATTCAAAAGCCTTCATTTGGTTGTTTACTGATTAACGCTCTACTCGATACTGAATAGAAATTAGCGTATGAAATCCCTGCTGGCTGCTGTGGCGCTACATGTGCAAATGGGGTGCTCTCCACCCTGCTGCTTTAGTTCTCATTCATCTCTCAGCAGCAGTATACTGTGAGGTTGGGTACACCATTGAGAGAGGGGATATATTCACTTGTTGGGTGTTTGGTCTTTCATAAAGCTATGAGGTGCTGGGTGTTTGTGTGCTGCCACTGCTCTGACTTATTATGCATGCTGTGTTGACCCCCCAGGCTCCTACTGAAGTCCCCTTGGAATAAAAGCAGCCTGTTAAACGTTTGGTGAGGACTTCTCCTGCTCTACCAAGATGGGGAACAGATTATCAGATCATCACTCCCTCTTACCCTGCCTGCCGTCCTTCCAGGCTCTCCACATTGTCATTCTAGGACTGGACTGTGCAGGCAAGACCACTGTACTGTACCGCCTGCGTTTCAATGAGTTTGTAAACACTGTCCCAACTAAGGGTTTTAACACAGAGAAGATCAAGGTGTCTCTTGGAGGTAGCCAACGGACAGCGTCCTTCCACTTCTGGGATGTAGGCGGTCAGGAGAAGCTGCGTCCTTTGTGGCGCTCTTACACACGATGTGCTGATGGCATCGTGTTCGTGGTGGATTCTGTGGATGCTGAGCGCATTGAGGAGGCCAAGACAGAGCTGCACAAGATCACACGGCTGACAGAGAACCAGGGGGTGCCAGTTCTGGTGGTGGCTAACAAACAGGACCTGAGGAACTCACTCAGTATGGCTGAGATGGAGAGCATGTTGGCTCTAGGTGAGCTCAGCCCCGCCACAGCCTGGCACCTTCTGCCTGCTTGTGCTATCATTGGTGAGGGACTGCAGGAAGGTCTGGAGAAGCTGCATGCCATGATCATGAAGAGGAGAAAGATGCTGCGGCAGCAGAAGAAGAAGAGATGATGTGCTAACAAAGGGAACTGTAAAATGTGAGATGAATCTAAAGCTACATAAGAACTCCTGTGAGCTGCGTATGATCTGCTGGCCCACTGTGACCGGTCATCTAGCTTCCCTTTGAAGTCTGATTGGCTGAGTTTGATCCTTGCAGTGTAACTGTTTGTTCAGGCTGGCCAGTGTTAGGCTCCCACAGAGGACAGTGGGGTTGATTTTGCCCTGTGGACTTTGGATGCCAACAATCTCATCAGCAACAGCCATTCATCAAGGAAGTCCAGTATTATGCTCTTCAGCAGAAAGCTATGAAGTTTACACTGAACTCTCTAAAGTGGACAATGAGCTCTGACTTCTCTGTTTATGTTTATGTTTCTTGTTCAAATATGTCGCAAACAACGCTTGTGTTGGAGCTAATTGATAAACGCTGCATATGTCACTGTAGGGACAAGTATTTTGTATCCATGTTGCACAATGGGGGGGGGTTGGTCAAAAAGAGTAATGTTCACAATGACCCTAACATGTAAACACTGTTATCTGGTGTCATAGAACATGTCAGTCCATTTAAAACATTACATTTTGTTGTCAATCCTTCTGAATGAGGGAGGGCGGGGGTGTCTTTGTAGAACCGTCACTTCACCAACAGGAAATCAAGAGCAGGAAGGGAAGGACGTCCACTTCCTCCACTAACCGTAGCCTGAGAACATCAGAACTCAGTGCCGGTCATGGCTGATCGGTCCTCTGTGCCACAGTAAATAATGCACAACCTCTACTTGACTTGCTCCTCTGTAACTTGCATGTACAGCTCATACCACAGTTAATAATGGAAAGTATCAGTCAAATTGAATACAATGTAATAATCTTAAATTATTATTATTTAGCATTGATTATGAATTAGGGGTACACCAATGATTATATTTTTGCTGATATTTGCTCACTTTAGATATGTCAGTGTTAATGTATTCCTCGGCTCTTGAGAAACAAAAAATGTCAGTATGGAAATGCCAAAGATATGATTGAGGTAACTTAGAGGAAACATCAAATGTTAAATATAAAGTGTCTCATCTATCTGATATGTAGACTAAGTTACCACATCCCAGATGCTTGTTTCCTGGGAGCTAACTGAATGGTTGGATAGCTGATTACGGTTGGTTAAGGGATGGTTGCTTGCTAGTACAGCTGGGTATGAGTTCAAAATTCTATGTACTAGTGCCAAATTCAATACTGTAATCAAAATGATCCCTTTACGATACCTTGTCTGAAGGAGTACAGACATGGTGTCCTACAAAAACCTTGTTCATTCAACTAAAGACACCAACATGCTCAAATATTAAATGTCTAAATTCAAACAGCTGTTCAAGTAAACAAGATTACATATTGGACCAGACATTCATTACGTGACAGTTCTAGACTAGTGCTGCGGAGAGTTCAGTGTCACAAAAGCAGTGAGGACCAATGCCCTTCCTTACTTTCTATTGAACAGATGTTAGTGCCGGACTGTTTGGAGTTCATTTGAAACAGTTTTGATCACCCACAATGCACTTTGTACTTAAAGTTAGCTTAGCTAACTTGATTAGCTTTGGTAGCAGGTATTTACATCTAGATCTATGAAACAACTCAGAAGATAGCACATTTAGTTTGAACCCACTAGGTGTGTGACGATGAACCGATACGACTCAATCAATACAAGAGTCTCAGATGCTGCTATGTCAATACATAACTCTGAATCCACTTGAAATTTTGAGGGGAATCATAAACCAATACAGTGTTACGTGTGAGCGGAGAGAGACAAAGTTCTCTTTCTCTGTGTGTGTGTGTGTGTGGGGGGGGGGGGAAGAAAACATGTCCATAGGCTAGATAAAAACTTAAATCCAACAACTGGAGAAAGATGAACTGCCATAATCAAGACGAAGACACAACCTTTTGCTTTTATGACATGTAATTGTTTGCCTTCTCCACCAATAGACAGATTCAACTTGAGATATAGTATCCAAATGATGTGACTTGTGTCTTCTATAATTAAATAAAATTGAGATGAACATAAGGGTTGGCAATATACAGTTGTGTGAAAAAGTGTTTGCCCCCTTCCTGATTTCTTATTATTTTTGCATGTTTGTCACACTTAAATGTTTCAGATCATCAAACAAATTTAAATATTAGACAAAGATAACACAAGTAAACACAAAATGCAGTTTTTAAATGAAGGTTTTTATTATTAAGGGGGGAAAAAAATCCAAACCTACATGGCCCTGTGTGAAAAAGTGATTGCCCCCCCTGTTAAAACATAAATTAACTGTGGTTTATCACATCTTTGGAAAGCTGAGTTCAATTTCTCTAGCCACACCCAGGCCTGATTACTGCCACACCTGTTCTCAATCAAGAAATCACTTAAATAGGACATGCCTGACAAAGTGAGGTAGACCAAAAGATCCTCAAAAGCTAGACATCATGCTGCGATCCAAAGAAATTCAGGAACAAATGAGAAACAAAGTAATTGAGATCTATCAGTCTGGAAAAGGTTACAAAGCCATTTCTAAAGCTTTGGGACTCCAGTGAACCACAGTGAGAGCCATTATCCACAAATGGCGAAAACATGGAACAGTGGTGAACCTTACCAGGAGTGGCCGGCCGACCAATATTACCCCAAGAGCGCAGCGACGACTCATCAAAGAGGTCACAAAAGACCCCAGAACAACATCCAAAGAACTGCAGGCCTCACTTGCCTCAATTAAGGTCAGTGTTCATGACTCCACCATAAGAAAGAGACTGCATGGCAGAGTTCCAAGACGAAAACCACTGCTGAGCAAAAAGAACATAAAGGCTCGTCTCAGTTTTGCCAGAAAACATCTTGATGATCCCCAAGACTTTTGGGAAAATACTCTGGACTAACGAGACAAAAGTTGAACTTTTTGGAAAGTGTATGTCCCATTACATCTGGCGTAAAAGTAACACGGCATTTCAGAAAAGGAACATCATACCAACAGTAAAATATGGTGGTGGTAGTGTGATGGTCTGGGGCTGTTTTGCTGCTTCAGGACCTGGAAGACTTGCTGTGGTAAATAGAACCATGAATTCTGCTGTCTACCAAAAAATCCTGAAATAGAATGTCCGGCCATCTGTGACCTCAAGATGAAGCGCACTTGGGTTCTGCAGCAGGACGATCCAAAACACACCAGCAAGTCCACCTCTGAATGGCTTAAGAAAAACAAAATTAAGACTTTGGAGTGGCGTAGTCAAAGTCCCGACCTGAATCCGATTGAGATTCTGTGGCATGACCTTAAAAAGGCGGTTCATGCTCGAAAACCCTCCAATGTGGCTGAATTACAACAATTCTGCAAAGATGAGTGGGCCAAAATTCCTCTACAGTGCTGTAAAAGACTCATTGCCAGTTATCGCAAACGCTTGATTGCAGTTGTTGCTGCTAAGGGTGGCCCAACCAGTTATTAGGTTTAGGGGGCAATCACTTTTTCACACAGGGCCATGTAGGTTTGGATTTTTTTCCCCCTTAATAATAAAAACCTTCATTTAAAAACTGCATTTTGTGTTTACTTGTGTTATCTTTGTCTAATATTTTAATTAGTTTGATGATCTGAAACATTTAAGTGACAAACATGCAAAAAAATAAGAAATCAGGAAGGGGGCAAACACTTTTTCACACAACCGTATTAATATTGTGATATGAGACTAGATGTCGTCTTGACTTTGGATATTGTAATAATTTACCAGCAGACTGTTCTAGCTGATCTATTATTTGCCTTTCCCCACGTAGCCATGTCCTGTCAGAGATAATGAAATATGTCTCCAGCACGCTCAGCTCAGTCAAAAGCCTCAACCTCTGAAGAACTTCAAATGGGAAGATATCTATGCAAGTCTTTTATAAACTCGCGTCAGTTGGAGCTGTGCATAAACCACATTCAGAGTGTAAGAAACCTTTATCACTGATGTATTAATATCTGTTTTCATCATTGTGCTTCCTGGCTGGATCAGTAACAGTGACATACTGGATGGAAAAGTAGAAGTCCTCATTGACTGACTGTGAACACAGTTGGTCCACTGCCCTTCCTGCATCTGGAGCATCCTTCCTCTCCAGCAATATGGCTGCCTGCCCAGTGGCCATAAATATTTTCCATTACACAAAGCTCACACAGGGCTGGGTGGCATGCCAGGTTAAGCCTCTCCCTCTTCCCATGGCCCTTGGCTGGAGGATGACAGATATGCTTTCACACAGTGACGGAGGGGGCTTTAGGGGTCACTTGTTCCCAAACATCCATATCAGCCCGCCTGACTTCCTGGCCTGGACTCAGATCCTGCGCAGTAATTAACAGTGGATTAGTGTGAGAGCAACGGGACCAGCTGAGACGCAAGACACACAACATCTCTAGGTTCCAACAGGTATATTTTTTAATGCAAATGGTTCAGGAACACCGAAGGATGACGTCGCTCTTTCACTGTTTTGTTTTTTTATCCTTGGGTCCCCAGATCTATAGTTACATTTAGAAGTTATTGTCCCTCATGATCAAAGCCTGGCACTTCAAAAATGTGAAAATGACCAGTTGCGTTACAGACAGGAGGCACAAAAGTACATGCAAAATAGCGAAGACAGCGTTTCTTATATTTCGTCATCTTTTGACTGACACTAAATGTATTTTCATCTGAGCCCTCCTTTCAAGAGTAATGCTTGTCTGATGAATGTACCTGAAATAGATCTGAACTTGATTTGAAACTGATATATTGATCTGATTGCACATCAAATGAATAAAGATTACATATTTTAAGTAAAAGTGAGCTGAGGATTCAGATTTTGTTGTTCACAAGATAAATAGATGATAGGTGTAACTTCAATGTGTAAATAGGGGAAATATGAAATCCACATTTCAGATGTGCTCTTGGCCACATTTACTGTATAAGTGAAAACACATTTGACAGGGATCAAATATCTGATTTAGGTTTTTTTTTGTGTGTTTTCTTATGTAGCAAAATGGGTCTACAAACTGCATTTTGACTGCGAGTGACACGATGTCTGCTGCTGCATGGGGCCGGTGATGTGGACCTGGACCTCTTCACTGGCTCGGCCCTTTCTATGTCGACCCCTGGGCGAGTCAATTTATGGCGGGTGTGGCGGCGGAGAGGGGAGTGTGTACGTCAAGAGAAGGGGCTATGTTTCACACGGCCCAATTGATCTTACACCTAACCAGTTTGGGCTTCACAATCAACTGTTGAGGAGCAGGCCCCTGCCTGCACCTTGAGTCTGACCCGAATGGTGCAACAATGTCTTCACATGTGCTTTCAGCTTTTCTCTAAGATAAAAGTTTTTACAACAATGAGCTCTCCTGCTGCAGAGGGTGAGGGAGAAGCCGTTGTCGGTCATTCCGTGAGCTCCAGTTTGCTGCTTGGCGCTATAGTATGCAGAAGTTACTCAGATGATGGCAGCACAGCCCTGGACCATTCCCCAGTTCTCTCAGGCTTGGCTCCTGAGAGTGACAGGCTGTGGAGGGCTGGTCTGTCCGGCAGTGCAGACCATCCAGGCAGCTGGAGCGGGATCCACCATTGCCTGTTGTGAGGCAAAGTGGGCAGGGTTCCAGTGTGCGAGGAAAGGAGGCTAGATCCCCTATCCTGTGCAGTTTGGTCTATTTCCTTTTTTGCAATGGTAAGTAGATAGAGGGCTGTCTCATGCCACTGGTAAAGTTCATGCAGCAGTCAGTTCTGTCTGCACAACGGTTTTGTCCAGAGAAATGCCTGGTGGGATGGCTTTGTGAGTGCATCTCCCGAGCTTTGTCCGTTCATATAGTTCCATCTCTTTGAACTAGGATATAATTTAACAACTTTAAATGGCAGCAAAATACGACTTTAAATGTAGTTTTATAAACGTAGTTCAGGAACGGGGCCACGCCCAGAACACCGCTCATTTCCTCTGCACACAGTATTTAAGCACAACGAACTAGTTCACTCCCTCTTCGACTCTCTTCTTCACATCCCTCCCCCCCAACCCCCTTTTTGTCGTCCGATTTCTCTCTCTCTCTCTCCCTCTCCCTCTCTCTCTCTCTCGTAGGATTACAGGAACAACAGGGGACTCTGCTCCGCCAGAGCTTCCGAAGAGATGGCCCCCACCCTACAGTCTCCAGTACCCCCATTCCCGCCAGTTGCCGGACATCAACGGTCCCCCATCGATCGCCTAACCTCCTTTCTACAAACCCTCCTCGTTTCTTCTTCCCGACATCCCTTCATCCCTCTACCCTACATCCCTTCATCCCTCTACCTCGACCCCTTCATCCCTTCATCCCTCGACCCCTCCATCCCTCGACCCCTTCATCCCTCGACCCCTTCATCCCTTCATCCCTCGACCCCTTCATCCCTCTACCTCGACCCCTACCCCCACATCCCTTCCTCCCTACCCCCACATCCCATCATCCCCCTACCCTATATCTATTTCATCCCTCGATCCCTTCC